CACTTCAGGTTCTGGTTCATGACAATAAAACCCAGGGTGCCCCAGGGATTCAGCAACTCCTGCCAGCAATTTCCAGCTGCTGACTAGGTGGATGACAATATCCCTAATTCTAAGCCACAAGCCCTTACTTTCTCTCTGAGCCCACTGATTCAGAGGAGTCAGATTTGGTTTTGCTTTTAGCAGACACTGTTCTCTGTTTCCTCCCCCAAGCGGCAAAGAACACAGTGCTGATTAGAAAACAAGGGGGTTTTTTCCCCCCCCCCCCCCCGCCCCGATGCCATAAGTTCTGACAAGGTATACTTAGCTTTTATCCTTTCTGGCATTCCGATGATTTTTTGGCAGTCCAAGCTGCCCTCTCACTACAATGGAAGGATGAAGACAAGGCTGGAGCAACTGTGCCTACAGCTGAATGCCCTTGCAGCTTCAAGCAGAGGAGGAATCCCAGGCTGCCTGAGCTTGCTGCTATTTAGAGACCCACGGGACACATTCAGGCCACTCCTTCATCTCATATGAGTCAGATTTATAAGGAAATAGTGGTTTTGCAGCCTTGCAGGTGGTCAATTTCGAGGTCTCCAGCACTGTTTTATTAATGAAAATCTAAATGGTAGAAAACTGCTAATTAGATCTTAACACCCTTCAACTTAATCTTCAGATCTGTTGTACGTTACGTATGAGGGACTATTATGTCGTGTCATTATAAATTAATGAGGAGTATGTTATTAGTGACAATGAACTCTTCGTGGTTTATGGTTTACTGCAGAATATTTTTTAAAAGAAGACTTTGTGCTCTCAGGGCAATTTATGTTGGAACAAGAGTGTGCATAAACTGCAGGTGTCTCATTAAATTCTGCTGGTGATTAGAAGAAGCAGCCATGTGCAGAGATCTTCATCAGGGTCTCCGTGATTTGTGTTGTCATGCTCAGTTTTTCCCTAATAGCTACACATTACTTAGCATTGATGCTCAGCTGCTGTGAGTAGAGCTCTGCAAAAATACTTGGTTTCCATTCAGAAGCAAATAGCATCGAGCCAGCTATTGATTTATAAGATGACACATTCCCCTTTAAAATGGCTATAAGAACACTGACAACTTACCTGTTACCTTTCTCTAGAAGTGTGTTAAAAATAATTTTTCACTTGATAAATGGAAACACAGTGTGTGATATTTATACTGGTCATTTTCATAGAGAGCTCTGAAAAGGGCTACTTTATACAATTGCACTGGAGAGAGAGAGAGAGAAGGTTGAGAAAGTTTGTCAGTATTCCCAGTTCTGGTTAAATGGTTTGGCAAATGAAGGCAAGATGGATACATGCCCATTTCTTCCCAGCATGGACATGTGTTTGAAAACAGAAACTTGGCATAATGTTTTTAAAAAACCAACACTAAACACAAAACAACAACCCTTTTGTATCTGCAACATATAGTGCTTCTTTGAGGGAAAAAGGCAATACTATTCAAGCTTATAACTGCAATGATACATTATTTAGAATTGTGCTATGTCTTATTCATCTGAACAACTAAAGGACATTTATTTTCATATTCCTACAGAAGTAGCTTTATAATTCTCTGCTAGTAATGTGACAGCTACTTTTTAAAATTTTTGTACCTCCAGTGCTTAGCTGGTTTGTTTTTGTTCTTAATCTTGCAGCTGTGCTTGGGATAAAGGAGGAGTACTGGCTTTTTCTCAGGACTGAGGTTCTGTTTGGGAGAGAATCTAAGCCACATAAAAGAATACACCAAACTATTTGGCGTGATTCTGATTTTTCCTCATGTTCAGGTGTTGCAGTGGACATATATACCAACTTGCATCTCTGAAGGGCCAGAGAAGCCCAAATGAGTGCAAAGTCAGGCATTGTTTATTACCCTGGTCCTGTTCAACCCCTGGCACAGTCAGGCCCTTATCCACTTGGCCTGGGACAGATACCAAAATATTTAAACCATGATCATATTTTCCTAGAAGTTCAGATGGAGATTGTTTTGGGATTCAATAATTTTGCAGAGGATTCATCCTATTAGCAATGCAACTCTGCTGTTCCTTGGCATTCACAAAGCCCTTGTTATTCCCATTCCTCAGCTTCCTCAGCTAGCTTGAGTTGGCTTTGGCTAGGCCAGAGTGTGAAATCTGTTGAAGAAGATTGCCTGCAAACTGGATAGGCCACCTGTTAGATGGCGACTAAATAGATGCTTTTGTCTTCTTCACATGAACAAGAGCCAAAGTTAAAAGGAACATTTAGGTATTTTGAGTAACAGTAGTTTGCAAAGGCCATTATGTTTCTCTGGTTTTCAAACTGCGGTTAACATTTTTGAAAGGCTCCATGTTGGCACTGAGGCATAAAAGCCACCCAGGCCAAGCTCTTGCTCAAAGATGGACCAGTTAGACTGGATTCCTTAGGTTTTTGTCTGGTCAAGATTGGATATCTCCAAGGACATAGTCTCTACAAGCTCTTTGGAACACTGTTCCAGTTCTTGAGACTTTTCACTGTTTAAAACCTTTTCTTAGTACCAAGCCGGAATTTCCTGCGTTCCTGCTTGTGCCTGTTGTCTCTTGTCCTGCCATTGTGTGCTTCCAAGGTGAGTTTGGCTCCATCTCCTGTGCATGCCTCCATTAGCTGTACACAGGAGTCACTGCTTAAGGCTAAACAAGCCCAGTCCTCTCAGCCTGTCCTCATAACAATGTTCCATGTTTCTATGCAAGAAAGAGGATGTGAGATTATTTTGTAGGGCTTGCTTCTTCTAATGAAAAGCCACTGTTATCTTCTGCTTTTAATAGCAAGCATTTCACAGTACCAGAAGTGTCTGCAGAGGTCCATACAAGCACCCTTTAAAAGCCCATACCTATTGATTTGGCATTGCTCCAGCTGTGCTCTGCTTTCCAGCATCTTTGCAGCTTGAGAGCATGCACTCAGAGCAGCCAGTTTAAATATTTATAGCTGTGTAGTTGCATACTCCAGCTACCAGACTTTTATCCAAATACCCAGACAGGTGTATGTGCCTGCATTTAAATCCCTGTTACTTACAGAGATGGCATCTGAGCTGGCTGACAGCTTTGTGAACTCCTGGAATAAAAACTAGCTACAGCCTTGCTGTGTTGTGCTTTGTCATCTATTATATAAAAGGATGGAGCGCAAAAAGTTCTTTCTCTTCCTTTACACATAGAAAAACACTGCTGTATTTTGTACTGATTATTCAGACAATCCTTCTCAGTTTCCCACATGGAAAAGCAGATAGTATTAAATACACCCCCACAATTTTTTTGCAGCAGTCTACACTACGGGAGTAGGTCTTTCTCAGCAAAGTTTGTGTAAAGGCTATGGGGTGGAGTGATAGCAACAGATGAGGAGCATTCATGGTGCCACATCAGTTTTGTGTTCCTTCACTGCTGTTCTTGGCATGAATGTGGTGCTCCTGTGAAGTGGCAGTCTCATCATAGAAAAGATTATTTCCTTCTCTTCTGCAGTCAGAAGAGCAGGATGGCAGGGGTGAGCTCCCCACCATTGTGCTGGGACTGGGAAGGGTCCAGCCATGAAAGAGACTTTCCTGGGTGAAACACTTCAGTGCTGGGAATGATGCTAGAAATTTGCCCTCCAGCACCCTATGGAGATCCATTAGAGAAGTAGTTTTATGTCCCAATGAGCTTTCACTCAAGATCTGGGAGAGAACACTTGTAACTCATTGCCTAATGGTCAGTGCTGCCAGAGAGGGGCCGAGATTCAGCCTTTACCCAGCAGGGCAGTCTAATCTATCTGCTCATTTTCCAGGTGCAGGAGAGAAGACCTCTCCTGAGCTGCACCACAAGTTCCTTGCCCTGCCCAAGCACCCAGAGAAGGTGCCTGCAGTGCAAGCAAAGCCTAGTCTCAGAGCCAGGCATCATTGGTGAGCCAGTGTGTATGGAGGGCTAGCAACGAGCTGTGCCACAGTCCTTGAGGAAGATCCCTGGATCGTGTTCAAGTGGGTGCAGCCGTGTGTTGGTGTTTCCACAGAGATTCTCACTATGGAAAGGAAAAAAGTCCTGGGCTGTGGTTAAACATCTGCATTCTCACTTTTATTAAATGTATTTATTGCTCATTTTACTCCTATCTCTGCCCATTTAAAAATGCAAGGAGACCCCGCTCTCCTGCTGACATGTATCAAGAGCACACACTTAAACGCCACTGAATTATGCTGGTGTAAATCCAGCCTGAGACTTCAAACACACCAGTATCACACGTGACTTCATACTCAGGGAAAAAGGGATGCAAAATGAATGAGGTGGAAGTGAAGAACTGTCCCTGCATAGTCCATTTCCAGGCTTTTCAGTGAAGCTTATCACTGTCCTGTCCAGCTCTTGGCTTCATTTCTTCACTTGTGAAAGATATCTATTGAAATGGCAATGGAAATTCAGGCAGAATAGTTGCACTATCTAATGCCTCTTCAATGATATTGCTTTGGATAATATTACACTGTTTATCCAATATTTTCTAAGAGTTGGAGACTAGAATTCTGATCCACAAAAAATGTAACTCTTAAATTACTTAAGAAAGCTCAATGAAATTAGTGGGTAAAAACACAGAATTGGATTAAGCATTCTGTTAATTTTTCATTATTTCTGTGCACTGTGTGATGCTCATTCATGTTGCTAATTACTCTTTCATTTCCCCAATTTATATAGAATATAATATGAAAAAGAAAACCCCAGGCATTTGTGGTCTGCCCACTGAGCATTTGTGACATGAAGTTACAGCTCAAGAAAGGAATGCCTGAGTATCTGTGTGCACAATGTCTTTACTCCACAAAAAATAGAATACAGAGACTAAGAGAAAGATCATGGCTATAAAATTCCAAGGGATGGTTTGCTCCTCCATGCTCTGGTCACAGTTTTGCCAAGGGTCAGATGCAGGCTGAATCCATGTGAATGCACATCTGAACATATGTTTGGCAAAGCACTCACATGAGCATATATAATCTAGAATCAGATAGATAAATACTGGTATAATTATATTAAAAGAAATTCTGAACACAGGAGTAATTACTTGGGTATTTATTTAGCTATTGTTAGACATTTTATTCCATTAAATGTCATGTAATAAATATTTAGCCACTGATTAACTCCCTGCAAGATTATATTGGTATTTAATAACCCTTGTAAAAGAGGAAAAAAAAAAAAACAAAACACAAAAAAAAAAAAACCCCTACCTTTTCCCAGCTATTTCCTTTCTTGGAATAAGGGAACAAATCAATTTCCTAAGGACAAAGATACAGCATGAAATCTCTGACATAGAAATAAGAAAGAAGTTAATTACCACACCTGTGAAATTTGTAGTAAACACATTGTGCTTTTTAAATTTTCTTTTGAATTGGAAGGAAGCAGAGGGCCTTGAATTATGCAAATAGAGAGGGAATGTTAGCTCATTAATGTGCGTGAGATATTGGTTGAAAGATCTATTTTTTTCAGTTACTTATATTTGACTTCCTCTTTAGAAATAAGAACTGACCTCTGTTTTTTCCTTTGCATGTCGTACCTTTAAGAGAATGAACCCATCCTGAACTCAAGGCAGTTTGCTCTTTTCCTGCTGTAGCATGAAAATTGGAGAGAATACAACCAATTTAAGCAGGATGGGGGATTCTGTTTCTAACTAGCTAGAAGCAAACTGCTAAGGAACCAGCAAGGGAAAATGAGAGTTATTCACAATAGTCTCCAGCTTGGATTACATGTATCTTGAAAGCACTAGCAGCAGATGCTTGTGGAAGTGATTATGCTCTGGATCATACGCACATCCTTCTGGCTGCCAACACCACTTAGGCACATTTTGTAGTGTAGGAAAAATCCCCTCCAGTTTACAGGAGAAGGAGCTCAGAGTACACTGAAGAAGGCACCAAGAATTGTGGTGTTTAAAGGAGCTCAGCAGTCACTCTGCTGCTCTGGAGCCCAAGCCTGCAGAATCAAAACTGTACCAACAGGATTATGGATTTTAGCCTTTCAGGGATTTCAGCATTTTGCCGTATTTTAATTTATAGACATAATAACGCTTTTAGTGAGAAAAACACTCTCTCTTTTTGGCTGACATTGTTTGTTGATAATTAGGGCAGTTTTATGCATTTATGTAAATAGTAGTTCTAAAAGCTTTTTTCAAGTGATTTTATTCTGTCCAGCCTTTAGGCTGCAGATGTCATGATACAGCTCCACACAGTATTTAACAGATCCTTAGACACATACAACAAATGGCTTTGGTGATGCTGCGCTATATCTGTGCTACTGCACTTTTTTTTTATTTTAAAGAACTAAAATGGAAATACTGCAATTTTTTTTCTCAATCAATTCATTGACATTCTCTGATTTTTCAGTATGGAGTCTCTTATCTCTTTGGTTCTGAGTTCAATTGTCCTGGATTTTCATTCTTCCAAGCATCTCATTCTTTCCCTCACTATGCGTTGCTGTCTTTTTTTGCTACTGGAAGCCCAGTAGCCTTTCTCCTGATTTCACTGAGGATCCAGGAAAGTGGCAGCAACTGAGGCTTCTGCAGAGTGACTCTGCTTATTGTCTGGACTCACTACAGGTGGCCCAAACAGGGGGATTTCATTTTTCATTTGTACTAGGCTTCAGCGAGCATCTGCCAAAATAGCTAATCTGGTTTCTCGCATCCCCTGATACAGGTTCTGGGTTTGTTTTATAGTTGGCTGTCCAGATGCACAGACTGGCATCACAACTACAAGGCTCCCGTATTACAGCCAGAAACTCATTAAAAGCTGCAATTTACCACCTTTCTGGCCATTACACATAACAATATGATTTGCTGAAAGATAGGAAACCTGGTACATGGCTTCTTAAATTCTTTTTGTTTGGTTTGTGGTTTTTTTGGTTTGTTTTGGGGTTTTTTGTTGTTTTGGGTTTTGTTTGTTTGCTTGTTTGTTTGGTTTTTTTATCTACACCAAAACAAATAGGCAAGCTTGGGTCTACATTTTATAACTAAATAAAAAAAATCAGTGAGGAGTCCCTAAACTCTTTGAGTACCTGATCCCATTTTTCACCTTTAGGAAATGTGTTGTTCAATGTTTCTAATTAAAAAAAAAAAAAAAAAACAAACCCTTCCCTCTCTTCTCTCCCAGTCCCAAATACCTGTTGTTATCTCTAGTGCTGCCTCCAGCAATGCATCTGGATGCTCCCAGTGAAGGGGGATTCTGGGAAGTCCCATTAGGGAGCAGTAGTATCTATAAGAACAATTCTGGCTGCAGCACTGACCTGCTTTTCTGGCTAGTCACCATTGAGTCAACCTAGAAACACAAGGGGGACCACACAAACCCTTTGGGGCAAGGAGTTCTGTTCTGTTTTGTATCATTCTAGTGCAGGACTATTGCTTTTGCAGAGCATAAAATGCCAGTTGGAGAAAATCAGAAGTAGTTCTTTGAAAATCTTGAGCACCGGGTTGAATTCATCTTTCCTAAAGATGAAGTATTCCCCCAACTGGACTCACCTCTTGTAAAATGTGGGAACAGACGGTGTATTGGATTATTGCAGAGTTGAAGCACATGCTGCTAACTGTGATGCAAAGAATGAATAAACAATGACTTAATGCCATTCTTGTTTCACAGGGAGCCATAAATATGGGGCAGGAGTTGCTGACTAAGGCACTAATTCAGCAAGTGGTAGAAATTAATCAGGAGGTAATGCCACTTTTATAGGGCAAAAAGGATAAGGGAACAGACTAACAGAGCACAGGGATGGGGCTGAGATCAATTGGATGGGAACAGACACCTTGGACTAAAGTGGCTATTGCCAGTGCAACCAAATGCTATCAGTGAACCTGTGTAAGTCAGCTTTTATATGGAAGGGATGAGCAATGGGAAGTCTTTGTGAAGCTATGGTGCACTAATGACCAAAGAGGGGTGGGCAGTGCTGCCAGAGCATCATGAAAGGAGATTTGTCAGAAAGGAGCAGCAGTCCTGGGTCTCTTCCTGTCAAACACCTGTATAGATTTTTCAATTAAAAAAAAAAAAATATTTTCACCAAAAATATCATTATAACCATAAAAATGTGGTTATAATCATATAATCATAGAGGCTCAAATTACAGCAGTTTGCACTTTTCTTCTTAAGGTAAATGGCAACAAAACCAGTGCCTTAACTTTTTTTTCTGTCCCAGAGACGTAAAGGCACAACTACTGTTTTATTCCTGTTTTGGTCATTCTACCTCTGCTAATTAAATTACAATATTTCATTTCCTTCACTGGTAGTGCTTTCTCTCCTGTTTCCCAGGGCTTAGTGACTTTACAAAGCACGTGCAGGGTTGTGAAGAATCAAGCCCTGTGCTCACAGAGCCTGTCAGGTTCTCCTTGTCTCCTTGAAGGTGTGCACCAAAGCCTGCCTGGAGCTGGCTGCATGAGCGATATGTAATCTCGCAGCCCAGCCAAGGACAAATAACCCAATTGTGTTGATCTTTCTGAGGATTATTCTCTGTATCCTGAAAAGAAGTGAAACCTAATGTCCTGGGAAAGTGTGGTGTGGGGGAAGGAGGTCCCTGCCAGGTGGAGGTAGCTGCAGCCAGGCCCTGAAGGGTTTGGAGAGATCTGTCAAAGGCAGCTTCCCTTCCTATACCCTGCCAGGGAAAAAGGATCTTCTGAGCAGAGTCACATCACACCAGCATTTGGCTGCCACCAGTTTTCATTTCACTATGTTTTTTTCCCATCTGTTTTAAAAGTGGAATATCTCACCCAGAAGAAATTTATCCTGTCTGAAATGCAAACCTGGAAATTGGAAGGGGATCCCTGGCATGGGAGGAGCATGACTCTTCTGCAAAGCACTGATGGTCTGTGTGATGCCTGCTTTTCCCTGAAGGTACCCTCTGAGCTTGGGAAGGAGGAAATAATGGGACCAGGGAAACAGGAGCATCTTCATGTGTGAAGATGTATAATATCTTCAGGTTCCCCAGCAGCATTTGGGATTTATATTGAGTCCCTCCTACCTAGCAAGGACCAAGCAGGGGGGATTTTTTGTGTGGGAGCACAAAAATTGATTTGTGTCACGAGAGCACAAATGCAAACTGTTGATAACATAATCACATGACTTGGAGGAAAAGGTTACCTCAAGGCAGCATCACCAACTTAACAATTCTTGACAGGCATTCACTTTTGCCGTTAGTTGAAAACCACAATTTGTGAAGGCTAAAGCTTTCCCAGATGATTTGTGTCATACCTTTATGTTCCTTTCTACCAGAAAACCTGTAGCAAATGTCTTACCTGTTTCTTTCCTTGCTCCTTAAGCTCATTGCTCGTCATATCCACCAAGGAAATCTGGACAGGGCAGTTCTCTCCTATTCTCTTTTTATCAACCTATCTCTGTTTTTGAAGGGAGTTATCATGTTTATCTTCAGTCTCTTCTTTCTCAGAGTAAATGTCACTTTATTGAATCTTGCATCATAAATCATGTTTCTTCAAAGGCTGACGTATTGTTTACTTCTTTTTTTTTTTCTAGTTTTCCTTAATCTCTCTTTCCTTGTCTTCCCTCTAACTGATACTTTACCTATCCCTGTTCCTTTGCCACAATCTGATTCTGTTCTTAATTATTTTCTCCATCTATTTCATGAATTTGTAACAGGGCTAGTTCTGGAATTCATGTTTCTTCGTATTCTGCTTTGCCCTCCTGCTTTTGCAAAGAATGATTTAAAGTACAGAAATATTCTTTGCCTGCCTGGTTAAAGGAGAAGCATGGACTGAGAGTAATTTTACCAGTCAGAAGCTCCTAAGCTGGAGCTCCAGCTCAGCAGCAGCTTTCCAGCCTCAGGCAAGGCATCTGACCTTGTTCTTCCTATGAGTTTCTTGCATGATTTTTAAAAATATGATTGCTTATTGCCACAAATATGTATAAAAACACACTAACACCAGTCTGAAAATTTGAGCTAGATCTCAAGGGGTCAAGAACTCCTCTGCAGCTCCCATTTTTCTGGTCATGTGCAGTCTTTAGCTTTAGTTTAAAGAACCACTCCAGAAATGGAAATTTTATGTCTAATTAGCGCTCACAGGCCTCACAGCTGTCATAAGGTTGAGGGACATAAAGATGGAGCAGATTAAGTGTTGTTACATGTCTCACATCCACAAACCAGTATTGTCAGTCTTAAAATTGATTCCTCCAAGCTGAGGGCTGCCATAGGCCACTGGGATTCCTGTTTGTGGGGTTTGTAATGTCCTCATGCCAATACCAGATCATGGGGACCTTGCCTGGTGTTGGTATGCACTTGAAGAGTCACCTGAACCCATGTTAGTTTCTCCAGCCACAGCTCTGCACATTTTAAAGGCAAAGTTAATGTTTTTAAGTTGATCTAGAGATCTTTATTTGTACAACTGATGGCAAGATAATGAATTTGTAAAATATTTTTCTTTTTTTTTTTTCATTTAAAAAATACCGTGGAAGAAAATTCTGCATCTGGATATTGTTCTGTGCAAAGGACAGATTGTTGACATTCCTGGGCAATTCTGCTCTCTGGCAAAGGAGTGCTTCTTATCAAGTGCTCTGATGTACAAGTGCCTGAGGGCTTGTTCACATGGGAAAATCCGGTAGCATTATTCATACCTCTTCACTGTAGAATATGAATACCCACATGGGAGCTCAGCAGGAGTATAATTATTTTGCTCTAGAAAAGTCCAAAGTACCTTTATATAATATTTCCCCATAGGAGTTAGCAATGGCACAGGTAATGCAATACCCCAGAGAAAATGCATTTGGGGACATCAGAAAGGATTGCTTTGTACAAAAGCAACTCTTTCCTTGTGTGACAGTACATTTTCCTGTTTGCTATCGCCCCCTTTTTTTTTTCTCCACACAAAATGCTCTGTATCTACTGTAAAAATCCACCTCATTTGACAGAGAAACTAAAACAAACACCATGCATGTACTAATTCACACCCACCCACCCATTCTTTTAATTATTGGTCGAGTTTTGCTGCACTTACACTTTTCTTCTGTAAATGCATCCTCTGAGCACCACACTCAGACAGATGCTATCTGAGCAGTGACTGCAGCTTAGAAGGATGTGCCATATGCTGGTGGAGAGGGGTAGTGCTTCCTCAGCAAAATAAGCAAGAACAGAATCCAAGTAACGTAAAGCAATTTAACACTTGACAAGATATTATCAGGACATGCTGCACCTGCAGCTATGAACTTGATTTGCATAGCAGAAAAGCAATCTCTGTGCTGTAAAAGTATGGGGTTAGGAGGGATGGCAGAGAGACTGGGACATGGCCTTTGCAGTTCTGACTTTTGTGTCTACTCTGCCCCTCTCAGCTCTCGCTGAGTGACCCGGAGCAGGTGGTACAGCTCGGAGAAAGATTTCAGAGTCCTCTGGTGCCCGGTGGCACCCGTGTGCCCCGGCTGAGCACACTCCTGCACGGCTTTCTGCAGCTGCAGCTGCAGGGGCAGGGAAACCAATGCTCCTCTGAGATTTGGGGAAAACCAGCGACGGAATATTTTGTCACAGATTACCTGGGGAAAGGAAAAAGAGCAGATCACTGTATTTCAGAAGCTACGACTAATGCTCTGCTGCTTCCCTGGGACTGTAGCAAAACGTCATCTGAATCCGAAGTGCCTTTAGCCATTCAAAGAGGGAGGTACAGGAAAGGAGCATCCATAAAGGCTATACTCTAGCTAAGGGATGGCCCTTCTCAGGCTGCTCCTGCACTTCACACATCCTATGAGTGGCTGGGGGAGCTGGGGTTGTTTAGTCTAGGAAAGAGGATGCTGAGGGAAGACCTTATAGCCCTCAATAAGCACCTGAAAGGAGGTTGTAGACAGGTGAGGATCAGCCTCTGCTCCCAAGTGACAAGCAATACAAGGGAAAATGGCCTCAAGTTGTGGTAGGGGAGGTTTAGATTGGATATTAGGAAAAATGTCTTTACCAAAATTGTTGTCAAGCACTGGAACAAGCTGTCCAGAGAATTAGATGAGTCACTATCCCTGGAATATTTAAGATACGTAGATGTGGCACTAGAGGTGTGGTCTGTTGGTGGACCTGGCGGTGTTGGGTTAATGACTGGACTTGATGATCTTAAAGGTGGTTTCCAGCCTAAATAATCCTATGATTCTGCATAACGAGTGGTGAGGGTGAGGGGGTGGGAGAAGCAGGCAAAAGGCCAACACGCTACATCCCCCCAGCCAATGCCTCCCACCAACACAAGCTGGGTGAGCTGTAAGACACCTCATCCCAAAGCCAAGAACCCCATGGACACCCCTTTCCGGTACACCCACACACGACATCTGTAGAGTGGAGAATCACAACCACTGCTCACACTTGGACAGCCTCAACTTTCCCAGAACCATAGAATCACTAAGGTTGGAAAAGACTTTTAAGATCATTGAGTCCAAGTGCCAATGCAGCACTGCCAAGTCCGTCATTAAATCATGTTCCAAGTGCCACATCTACAAGTTTTTCGAACACTTACAGGGACAGTGATTCCACCACTTCCCTGGGAAGCCTGTTCCAATGCTTGACCATTCTTTCAGGAAGTTTTTCTCATATTCAAACTAAACCCTCCCTGGTGCAAGCTGGTGTCATTTTGTCTTGTCCCACCACTTGTTACTTGGGAGAAGAGGTCAACAGCCACCTCACTTCAACCTCTTTTCAGGTAGTTATAAAGAGCAATAAGATGTCCCTGAGCCTCTTTTTTTTCCAGCCTAAACATCTCCAGCTCCCTCAGCCACTTCTTACAAGACTTGTGAGCCAAATCCTTCATCACTCTGTTGCCCTTCTCTGGATATTCTCCAGCACCTCAATGTCTTTGTTAAAGTGAGGGGCCCAGAAATGAACACAGGATTTGAAGTGCAACTCAAAAATGTGACTTTATCATCAATGGAGACAGAAGTGCTAATCCCCTGCCCCTGCTTACTCTGCTCTCCTGTCTGTAGCACTGGGCTAACACCTACAGAAAATCATGGCAAATAAACACTATATAGAGAGAATATAAAGATCAGTTGTGTGCCACAAGACAAGATTTCTGAACAGGACACTTACATGGACACATGTAAAAACCTGACCGTCTTCATCTCCTTCAGTCTCCTTGTACATACTGTGCATTTTATAGTCAGTGTGATTTTAAAAGGAATGGATGCATAAAACAGCTGTGTCTACTCACTTGCAAGTTGTTATTGGCTCTCTGTGCTCCACATTTTCTGATTTTCAGATTGCATTTTGAAAAGCAATCAAAGAAATTACAATCTTCATCTCCTGTGCACTTCTGTTCCAGGATGTCTCTCATTTTGGGTTCAAAAAAGGCCATATCCACGTCAATGGCCACCACCTGTGAATTAAAACATTCCATCAGATCTGGCACACCACAGCCTCTGGGACAGGGCTGAGCAGGCATTCTTTGCTGCTGGCTTTGGGAAACGCTGTGCTGAGAGCATCTGCTGGTGGGGAACTGGGATCACAGAGGCTTTATTTCACTTAACTGAGCCACACTAACCTTATAAACACCACTTTTTAAACAAAAAATATAAGCCAATGCTTATGAAACCAGGAATGGAAAAAATATTTGTGAAAAATATGCATTCCTGGGGTGAATTGGGTTGGTTTGCCTTAAAGTGGACCTATCCAATCTGAAGACTGATTTACTTGCTGGTGCAGCATATGCAGATGGCACCTCAACCTCCCAATTACATGAAGGTGCACAATTACCCATGGGCCAGACAGTATCATTTAGAACTCAGCATTCAGACTAAACCCCTGATTGCCACTTTGCCACTGTGGAGAGGAGCAGTGGGATGTGCAAGGATAGCTGCATGTGGTACAGCTCCTGCAAACCTGTCCTTGCATTCTCTGGGATTGAGTCTGTTCCATTGTAGAGGGAGATCCCTGACTTTGCTGAAAGCTGGGTCTGGCTTTGCCCAGTGTTATTTGCTATGGTTTGACACAGTTATTGTGCACAGTTCATTTTCTTATAGTCCAGAAATACATCCTGTAACAGAGTCTAGCCAGAAGCTGGTCACAGCAGAAAAAACCTGAGTGAAAGGGGTCTGTCCCTTTCCTCTCAGAGCAGTGCGTACGCAGCACCAAGTACTTGCAGAACTGCTGCCCTTGTTGGGGCTGACACCTCCCAGGAAGCCAAGGGCTGTGGTCTCAGTTTCTGCCAGTGCCACTCCACCCCTGAATTCTTCACTTAAAGAAATCACAGCAATAAAAAGGGAAAGAAAGAAATCCGGGATGGGGATGGCAGCTGCCTGATGTGAGCCAAGCTGTGGGTGACCACAGGGAAGGAAGCCTGTCTCCAACATCATGGAGGTGCAGCCAGTAAATGTTCACAGCTGCACTTCACACTTGACAGTCAGGATCAGGGATGTTCTCTCTCAGCATCTCACACACATTTTTGTACAGGAAAATATCTGGGACCTGGGCAAAGTAGAGTTACTTGGGCTCAAATGATAATTTCATTTTTCAGATTCGACCTCCCAAGTAACAAGAGAAGATGAACTGTGTCACTGGAACAGCAACTGGATCAACCCCAGGAACTAAAGATGTCTGGTTTGGTGGAAGGCCAAATAAACCTTCCACAGGCAAAATAAAGAACGTGGTCTAATCTTCATTTTGTTCTACTCCTTTTTCCATAGGGAAAAATTTTACAGAGATGAGGCATATCTTAAAAACATAAGTATTTTTAAGCATTTTGGAGAGCTCTATAATGATGATGTAGCCTAAGGAATTTTACATGTTTGGCAATTTTTTTTTTTAATTTTTCTTTTTGTTTGTTATTTACTTCCTTAACTTTCTGTGGTTTTGCTGTTTAGTTCTTTGGAGAACAGACAGTGAGAGTAGTGCAGGGTTCCCCCAGTCCCAGTGTCACTGTACCACTCCCAGATGGGTCTTTGTCAGCACATTTGACAATCTTATCCATTGCTCCTCTAGGAAAATCGGCTCTGGTTCCCAAATACGTGGCTGCCAAAGGGTTCAGTGGCTTAACTGAAATTCTTTTATAAAAATGTGTGGACATCTATCGTTGTTGTATTCCCTGATGAGGGAAGAATGATGTGCAGAACTCTATGATATCAGAAGGTTAATTAATTACTTTATTATACTATATTATACTATAACTATATAATACTAACAAGAACTATTACTAACTAACTAGTTAGAAAACTCATGACTCTCTCTCAAGAGTCCTGATACACACATGGATCTAATTGGTTAATGAATCTAAACAACTATTAGTAGAGTCTAATTAACAAATCACTCTTTGGTAAACAATCTCCATAACACATTCCACATGTGTACAAACACAGGAGCAGTAACTGATATAAGAATTGTTTTGATTCTCTTTTCTCTGTTTCTCTCACAGTTTCTCTCAGGAGAAATCCTGAGAAAGCTAAGTCTCTCTCTGTTCAGAGGACATGTGAATACCACAGGCATCCAGCTAGACCCTGTGAAGACACATCTGGGTGACATTCTGCCTATAAACAGCTACGTTTTGGTGGGCTTTGCTATGTCCATAGATGGTGAAAAAAACATCTATGGACATAGAAACCTTCTAACTCTACCTTATGTGGCTTCATGGCAGCTTAAATTTCTCCTGGATGATTTACCAGACAGCTCCTCTGTGTGAGGCAGGAGAGCATGTGAAGGCTGGAGGCTTATCCCCACCACATGAAAATAATCCTCAAAGTAAAACTATTGCTATCCAGGCACATTTCTTTGGGCATTAGAAGTCTCATTACTCAAATGAAGAATAGTGGTACAATTGTGGGTTTCTTTACTATCCTATACAAGAAACCAACAGGTGAAAAAATTGCTTAAAACAAACATGAGACAAAAAAGAGGCTGCATTGCTGTGTTCCCATTCTGGAACTGGTTAGTCACTGGAAGATCCTGGCAAAGCAAGCCTCACCAAAAGGACTCATAAGAGAAGACACATCCAGTAGTCGTTCCCATTCCCTAAATGGAATCTATTTTCTTGTAAGTAGGTTGTGAAACAGATTCTCTGGCTTGTGCTCAGCCACGGGAAGCCACAGCCCTGAGTAACTGAGGAAGATGGGCAAAGCCTGCCTTGAGGAATTCCTGCTTTGCCTAAATAGTGGTACAGCTTGCTTTAGTTTCTTCTTGTAGCTCCTCACCCATTCTCTGTTCTGCTGCTGTATTGCACCTGAATAAACAATGGGATGGAAGGGAAGGGTGAGGGGGAAACACTAATTGCTCTTAATGTTTTGGTAGTGTTTGTCCAGTACCCTGAAGATACGAGTGTTACATTAACACTCAGTGAGCACTAAAAATAGTCTTAAAGTGCCTGAAAGTGCTTTATATTCACTCAGAGTGCAGAAACTACACTGATGACACTGCAAATTTGGCGTAAACAAACACTAGTTCAAATATTTACTCACTGCATGGTACCCCCAATCTGTAGAAAAAATTCCAACCAAAGCAAGAGGAATTTCTGTCCACAGAATGAATGTGAGCTGCACTGCTACTTAGAAAATATACATAGCTATAAGGTCTGAGTTACAGCTGCACAATGAAAAGTCAAAGAGTGACAGTAGTAGGGAGTTTCATCTTGCTGTCCTTGCATAGTTTCCAGACCAGATAAGCTGACCGCAGAAGCACAAATATGTATGTCTGGATGTGGGGAGTTCCCCTTATGTCAGACCATTAATTCAGTCTTAGCTTTCAAATTCATACAGTTTTTTCATTTCAGCATCACTACCAGAAATATGACTCATAAATGACAGCTTCATTTCGAGCTTTTGAAATCCCCTTGCCTCTAGGAGGCATCCTTCACCACATCCAAAGGATCTTGCACTGGTGCCTTTGAAGAAGCAAAACAAAACGGAAGCAAGCGACAAGTTTATGAAGTAAGCAGCAGGATTTAGTGTTCCAAAAATGTGGCTGTACACATTACAAAGAGGAAAAGCAGTAGAGAATCTCTCTTGATGCTTGTAAATTCATTGGCTTTGTAAACACTTAGCCAAAAGCTGTACAAGGAGGGAAGTGTCATTTTTACAGCCACCTTCAGACTAGAATTTGACCTCAAATTCCTGGAACACTACCCCAAAGATCTGACTTACCGTGAGATCATGCCTGATAGCGAAGTTTTCTGGTTTGATGTCGCACAGGTGAAGTCGGTGAGAGAAATCGTTATCAAAATGCCGCACCATGTCCAGAAAGCTGAGTGCAATGTCAATGATGGCTCTCACCCTGCTTCTGTGTCCAGTAAGGGAGGGGCCGATCACGTTTTCCAAGGGAAAAAGAGTTTTGTGCCAGGCATGTCCAGCTGTGAGATACTCCACAGCATAAAAGTGTCCACAAGAGCCAATAATTCGTAGCACATGTTTGCTGAAGTCCTGCAGCAAACTGAAGTAGATATATTCTTCCTGCTGGAGCAAGGACCACATGCTGGCCACCTGTGCTTTCCAACGTGGTCCCTTCTTCCTTGTCCACAGGGGCTCCATGGTATTGTTAGACAGTTCTAGCCCCAGGGCATTTTTGACCTCCAAAGCTACCATAAGCAGAAGCTCTGTTTCAGGGATATCCTGTGTTTCCACCTCCTCTAGCATACTGAGGTGCTGGTAGCTTGAAAAACTTTCTTTTTTGGATTTCAGTATGATGGACTGGCCTCTCCAATCAGCCTGAATGACCTTCTTACCTCTGTCATAGTAGAGGCAGTGTTTGTACACCAGCTTCTGCGCCACGCACAGGTCTTCACAGAGGTCCCCAGTCAGGGCTCCACTGCTGTAGTCAAGGCACTGGAGTGAAAGAGCAGAATATTCATAGCAGAACCATACCCCTATGACCATGCAGAAGAAAGGCAAATAATGAGCAGCAATCCTAAGCTTGAGAGGTTTGTAGCAGTCATGGAACTGCAAACACACCCCTACAACCGTTGGGTCATTCAATGGTTTTTCAGAAGTCTCTAGAGATCTATTACTAGGAGAGTTTTGTTTCAAAACAGGGATTATGGAAATGATAAACGGCAGGTTTTTCAGGGGCAAGGAAAGGGACTGGATGACCTGTTAATCTGAAAAATTTTACATGTATGAGTGAAGTGAGACAAACTTTAAACACGGGCTCTGCTGTGTATGATTATGGGTTGTAATGCTTTTAGGCTTTAAGGCTCATAGTAATGCAGGACTTCTCTGGAAGGCTCAGGGCAGCATAACTTAGACATCACCACTAAAACTAAAGGAAAATCCATGTATAGCTGGATTGCTGGGACATTCCACAGCTCTGCATGTTTCAGCCTTGAACTCAACATACCCTGAAGGAAGCTGTGATAATCTCCTCTTGCATCACCAGGAAACACAGAGGTTGCATTCAATGAATTTTGGACCAAGAACTTTCAGAATTTTTGAGTATGTAAATGCTGCAGAACACAATGACTCTCCTAGTTTTATATATATTTATCAGAAGTGACATTTTAATATTAATTGTTTCAATACTTAATCTTTTTTTTAACTGGAAAGAAATCAGTCTTTTGAAACAAGGGAACTGTTGCTTGATAGTTTAGTGGTCAATGCAAATTAATGCAAGAACTGCAAGGATTCCCTCACCAGTCCTTCCTCTAGCGAGAATAATTTCTATAATATCATTTCCAAAAGTGGAGGCAGTTGATGTATTCCTATGGTCATTCAGACGTGCAGCTGTAGGGACTTTTTTGGGTTGCTCAGTAGAGGGGATGATCAGAGGTCTCTGGTGAAAGGGGAATAGAGGGGGTAGTGGAGAAAGCCAAACATCTGTGAGGCAGCTTGACAGTGTCATCCACCTCCATTGCTTTCTGGCATTTGAACCTTCATTTTAACAAACTGGCAGGTCCCCCCTGCACGTGCAGAACTTGCAGTGGCCGCCTGAGCCCCACCTCATTTGTGACTGGATATTACACGAGGAACGTGATCATAGCATTCAAGTAATGTATTTTTTTGGGACAGTCCCTGAGGTGTGTACATCAGAGGAATATGTTCTGATGCCAAGGAACATTTAGAGTCCAGCCTTAAACAACACACCAGGGAGTGGGTGGAGGATTAAGTCCAAAATCCAAGAATGGTGATCAGTTGACAGAAACAGCTCACTGAGGGTAGTTCAGAGAGATATAAAATTTATTTATATTCTGATTCTCACAGCCCAAGTGAGAAAATTCAATGCCAGCAAGGAGAGTCAGGTAGGCAAATTCTTCCATGAGTGTCTGGACACTGAGTCCATGCATGGACAGACACATCTGTATCCTCATCCACATCAGGATGACTAAAGAGACTCACTCAGACTCAGATCTGCACACTTCAGAGCATGCAGATCAATATTCTTGCTTTTTAAAATCTATTCCTACTAATGTAATACAATTTTACTCTACCTTTTTAAGTAGGAAATGTAGTTTTCTCAACAAAAGTAGGTTAGCAGTTCTTACCATCTGGAACTCTAAGCAATTTTAGAAAGAAAATGACAAACAGAAGGCATTTTTGGGGGTTTCTTTGGATTGTAAGTATAAGCACACTTAAAACTCTATTGACAGACCACAATCTAATTCTCTTCTTGTACAGTAAGATAAGATAGGACATAGTAATGTAATTGGGTTCACATGGGTGAACACTTGCCCTGTGGACAATTTTACTGTGGTTCACTCTTAGAGGGTTCACATGCATGGACTTCTGGCATCTACAAGAAAACACAATCGTGACCTGTAGCCAAACATGTCAAGGTGTAGCTTTTTCTCATGTGCTGACATCATGTCATTCTTAATGGCATTAGTGAAAAAAAGTAGTTGTGGAAAAAGCAGACTCAGATTTCACAGGCAGAGGAGACAGGTCCTTTTTGAACCTGGTTGCTGTTTAAGATTTTCTGCTGTTTTTTCAGTTAATGCTATAAATATTTGATTATTTACCTAGTATCTGAAAAACAGCATTGGAATCATATTCTTACAATGAACTTGTGCAGTATTTTTCAAACTGGGATCTGGGGAAGAGGACTTGACCAAAGAGCTCATGGTCTCACAATGATGAAACACAGATCAGCCTTCCAGAAGTGCATTCTCAGCTGGTCACAAAGGCAAGCAAGGCTTTTGAAAAGGCTTCTTCAAGGAAGTAATCAAGAAGATTGAACCATTTCCTATCAGGCTTTTAGGCACAGTCTACACTAGTAGTTCATCTTGAAGCAATTATTTGAGCCTTACATCCATTCTAAACACACAGTTTTACAGGACAGTCTTCCATCATATTGGCATAGTTTGTACTGTTGTGCTCCCCAGTGTACTAGCTTGCATTTTACAGTATTAAAACACAAACCTGGTGGACTGAAAACATTTAACCAGGTAATAGGGATTACCTGCTATGACACAATGGACCATTTATTATTTACCAAAACAGGAAGCTTTCCACTAACTTCAGACTTCATTATACGAGATTGTCCATCATCCTGCTGGTAAAAGGAAGAATCAATTCCCCAAAGAAATATTTCAGAAATGGTCCTCCACACTGCCATCCCTGTCTTAATGACTGAAGTTTGAGAGCTGTTGATGAGACAGTTTTAAATCGACCTAGTGATCGACCTTTGAAAGCCACAGATTCTTCTTTAAGTGCCAGATACTTTAAAATATGAAAGTGCTACTAAGCCAAAAGCCTTATAAAGAAGTAGCTGTACTACACAAAAATGCACACACAAGCATGGTTTGGACTCACTCATATGTATCTTATTAAAATTGTCTACATTATTTTTAATGTCTTCAGTGGACTCATCAAAATAAGTTTAAAAAGCTGGGTCTAAGTTAATGTTAAAGTTGAAATTAATAGAAACCTTGGTAAGGATTTAATTAAATTTAAATAACTCACTGTACCACTATCAGTGCCCTGAAACTGATGTTTTGCCTAGTTAGCTACTATTTCTATGTAAATGTAAATGCCAGGTTTGGAAGGCATCAAAATTAATTGATTTCTCAAGAGGGAACAGAAATTGATTGCTATGACTTAGAGTGTTCAGTGTAAATGAAGATGAGACTGGCATTAGGAAAGAGCAAGGGGATTTTTTCCGAGAATTAAGGTTGGTCCCTGAAAATTGCCCAGTGCTATTTTAGCCTTCTCAATGCAGTATACATCTGCACAGATGCATATCTTACTCAGAATAAGGAAATAAAACTTTCAGAAATGCCAGGTGAAAGGGCATTTGCACCCGCTTCCTTAAAATATCTCATCTCCTACTGAGAGATGACTAGTAAAATAGTTTTTTCTTAGAAGCTAATTATTGCTTAATAGAAGGTGTGAGACTGAAGCTATCAGGTTATTTGTTTCACGGTTCAGTTGCACTCTCTGTAACTGTGAAATTCATGCTATGTTCTGAAGATGTAGAAAAACTTATTTTGGGGCAGATGAAGACAAGTTCATTTTCTAATTATTCCACTAGAAGGACCATCCCTTTCTAACGTCATCTGGGAAAACTGTTGCTTACAAACCTTAGGGATACTGCTGATGATCCACCTACTCACAGACAAGCACAGCAATCTCAGCTACTCTTCCTCTGGAAAGAGGGTCTGAACCTGAGCTGTCACAGTGATAGAGACAACTTTCTAAGCTTGCGACTGAAATCTGACCCCTGGGCTTTTGAAGCCCTGCCTGACGCTTTCCAAACTGAAGAACAGCAACAAGTCTCTGTCCATCTGTTTATTGGTACTGAGATGGCAAGGACCCGGACCTCCCTGAGCTTGGCAGCTCTGTGCACCTCCGTATCTCAGTATTCTTCCCGAGCACGTAAGGATGAGGCTGGAATCATTCCTTCAGCTGCAAACCTGTGCTCAGCCCTACTTCCACCTGGGTCCTGAGGTACTGAAACTGGAGCCCACTGCCATTAAAAACACGCTGTCAGGACCGCTGCCTACTCTTGCTTTTCCTTTATTATACAGAATTAAGGAAAATCTATGCTCGATTTTTGCTTGCTTGCAGTGATAGATTATTTAATTCCCACTAGGATTCCTCCTTTCCCACCTAACCACTGGCACTACAGATACCCTGAATAATAAACAAATTTGAACTAAAAGCATTAACCCACGCTGCTCCTCTTCTCAAAGTGTTTCCTACACAATCCTAAATCTGTTCGTTATAATTTTAAAGAGAAATATTAATTAATATCCGCAAATCCTTTCTTGAATTTTAACCACATCTTACACGCCAACCCCCGCCAGATCATAAAGGAAGCGATACAAGCTGCCTGGCACTTCTGAAAGACGACTTTTGTACGAACAGCTTTTCGGCTAAAAACAAACAAAAACCCCCAACACCCGGAGGAATGTTTTCCTCTGCTTCGGAGCGTTCTGCTTAGGCAGCCCACCCGCATCCCACGCCCGGGAGCCGGCCCGCCGCCTGCACCTGACTTCGCCCCGGGGAGAGAGGCAGGGAGAGAGGGAAGGAGGGAGGGAGTCAGGGAGGGAAGGAAGGAGGGAGGGAAGGAGGTAAGGAGGCAGCCGCCCGCCCGTGCGCACCGGGGGCGCCGGCGATGCGGCACCTCCGGCGGCCGGAGCCGGGCAGGGCGCCCCGGAGAGCAGCCCCGACGGACCTCCCTCGCCTCGTCCTGCCGGGCAGCCCCCGGGAGATGCCTCGCGTCCCGCCGGGGCACCTACCAGCCTGGCCAGGATCCGGTGGCTTTTCTCGTCCGTGCAGCTCTCGGAGAAGACGCTCCTGTGGAGGAGGAACAGCGCAGCGCTCACCACCACCCAGCAGGCAGCCCAGAGGAGGAGCAGCAGCAGGGCGCATCGCCGCCAGTTTTTGAGCCGCAGCCTCTTTAAGCCCCTCATCGCCGCACCGGGGCTGGGCTGGGGCGGCCGCTCCGGCTGCGGCGGCCCCGAGCGAGCGGCGGCGGGGCCGGGGGAGCCGCGCTGTCCCCGCACGCCCGTCCCACTGCCGCCGGAGCCCGGCGCCCGCCGCCCTCCGCCGGGCTGCCCCGGCCCCGGCCCCGGCCCGCTCCCGCCCCCTCCCCGGGCCGGGACTGCCCTGGCGGAGCCCGGAGCGCCCCTTTTGAATTTAAGCCACGTAGTTCCGCCGCCTTTTGTCTGCGCTCCCCTGTGCCAAGCGGCCCCTGCAGCCACTTGGCGGCTGCTGCCCGCGCCCCCCGCCTCTCCTCGGCGAGTTTCTCACCCGAGAATAAAAGGAGTTTGAAGGGTGATGAATGCTGCTCTGGGAACCCTTTGCCATCCAGGCGGCTGCTCGATACTTTGAAAGAGGCAGCCTGGAGACGGACAGGTCCCTCTGGTGAAAGCTTCGTGTCCCGACAAATGGGAAAAGGAATAAAAAGTTGTCATTTACTCTGGAGTAACTTCTCAGTTTTATCTTCCCGGAGCTAATGGAGGAAGAGAGAGAAGCGACTCAGATGCCCTTTCAGTAACGCAGCCCCCATGGTGGGTCGTCCCTAGGCTCCCCAGCAGCTCCCCAGCCCCAGTGCGGGGTGCAGGCTGCCCCTGCCCGGCACCCGGGCTCCTGCCTCCCCTCGGCGGCCGGCGCACAACGCCAGCCGAGCGGCCACTGGGGATACGTTGCCAAAACAGGCAGGATGTTCTGGGTCCCAGGATGCTGGGGTAGATAGATTGTCTCCCTGCCCTCTCGTTGTCTCCCTGTGACTATGTCCCTGTTTTGGTGTGGTCAGCTCCACCAGACAGACTCTATTAGACTTCGTTAACCTTCCTGAGGGGTCAAAGACTCAGATGTTTGTTCCCGTGCAGCAAGGAAGATCCTGGCATCCTTTCCTCACTCCAGGTGCAGATGTTCACTGTCTCTGTTCAGAGAGCTCGGTCCAGTGATATATGTTCTTAGCATCATGTCTAACTTAATGAGAAATGCTTCCTTGACAAGTCTTTAAAAAGAAAGATGTCTCTATTGATATGATCGAATTTTATCTCTCAGAACTGCAAGGCAAGAACACAGGTGCAGCAGACTTGCTATTATCCACAGCTTTCACATGATCAGTGCAGTTCTCCTCTACCTGGCACAGCAGGGCTTGAAATGGAGCTTCTAAGTAGATGGCAGACTGTGGCAGAAAAGAAAAAGAAAGATAAAAATATTGCTGGACATATTCCAGCTTTCCTTTCTATAAATTGTCAGTGGGGACGGAGATGAAAGAAAAGCAAAATTACTTTCATCTCCAAAGTCTCAGAAGCAGAATCGTTATCATTAGCCACATCTTCTGTCACTGTGTTTTGCTTGATTTCTCCACCATCTCATTTCTTCACCTGTTGAGGCTGCCTTTGCAAATTTCCTTTTTCTTTCCCCTGATCCTTTTACTGAGAGGCTTACTTTTGAGGCGCTGGTGATACAGTCTGTTTCTTGGGAATGTGGCAAGCAGCAAAGACCAAGGAGGCAGATAGGAACAAAAAGATTTTAATCCTGTTTCTCAGTCTGATAGAAAAGTCTTTCAGAAGCTGTCTGAACAGCTTGGGGTGTTCTTCAGAAATTTCTAGGACAGTAAGTGGACAAGGAGGAGTTTTGCTCAGCCATTTCTCTGTAGGAGTACCAGCTAGGCTTGAACACAGCCAATCTTCATCAGTGACTGCTGCCATCTAGGAGATAAAATTGCAGATCTGCCATACGGATGCCTGGAATAATCCCAAGACACATCCCACATGGAAGAGAAGAGGGATGCAGGTGGTAGGGGAAAGTCAAGCATAAGTCCCTACTGCTTGGTCCTAAACTGTCTTGGTAGTAGTTTAGACCCTACCAAACCCACATGTATTTTAAAGTGCGGATCTTGACTTCTCTGTGTGTCAGCAATCCCCAAAGGATATTACGCATTTTTATTAAATGCCTTTGCAATTTGGTATATGTGTCATTGGTGTTTCAACAATAGCTCTGAAAACAAATCTAATTACACCTGTCTTTAAGCCAGGAACAAAATACAGATTTCAGACCAGGTTAGGTGTCACAGCTGACCTTCTCTAATTGCTGCTGAAACAACCAAGGATGTTGCTTCCTCCTCCTCCTCTGCTGCCACCTCCCTGTTTTCCTTTTTGTCTTGCCTGCCTAGTCCAGCCCCTTTCCCCAGTGAAAGATATTCCTTGCTGCACAGGGAGCTTTCTCAACTTGCTAACAGGGCAGAGATATGTAAAGCTGTTTCTTGACGAGATTATTTTCAGAGAGGTTAGCAAGCCCTGAGCATACCACGAGGCTGGTGCAGGGAGGCACAACGCAGGGCTCGGAGCTCTGGGGTGCTGGAGGCAGAACTGTATCAAATGTCTGCACCTTAAAGATGCAATGAGATATTGCAGATAAGGTGATCTTAATGGAAATGGTTGCTGAAAGAAGCAGTTTGTCCCTGTTTACACCCCAGCCATATGCTGTCACTGCTCCCTCAGCAGCTAGATTGGGGTAGTTAGCCCAGCAGGCAGCATCAGTAGGGTGTCTGGCTGCACTTTCCATTTCATCCCAAGATACCAGCTAGAATTCACTGGATTTTGGGGTCTGTAAGGAGACCACATCCTCCTCTTTGATTTGGAAACAGCTGCGACATGTAAGAGCAATTTTAACTTTAACAGGTATCTGATGCTTTGAAATTATGGAATATGAAGAAATAAGCTAAGAAAATAATAATAGGTTTTAATGTAGTTGTAATATTGCTTTAATAGTTTTAATAAAAACAAAAGTACAAGATGAAAGGAGCTTAATGAAGCAAATTCAAGTTGTATGACACTTATACTGGGTAGTTTAACAGTTTCATTTTATGGTAAATCCCACAGGAAGCATTTGCAGGGAATAAAGCCCCGTCTTCCCAAAAGATTTCAGTATAGCACTCAGGCAGGGGAAGGGGTTGTATCTAGTTCTTCAGGCTCTGATTTTTTAAATATATCACTGATTTAGTGAGTGGCAAAAGTTGGACAAGTCTGGAAATTATGTATGTGTGTGTGTACACATACCTTCTTGTATACATGAGCATAGAGAACTTCAGAACAGCTCAAAAATTGACCCAGAAAGCTTGGAATTAGTAAAAGATAAAAGCCCAGGTGGTTTAGGATCAAGTGGTTTAGCCTTTAATAACAACCTATTGCTAACTGTAAAATTCAAGTCTAATTTCGGATTTCCTTAAGCTTCAAGGTTAAGACTAACAGATTTTATATATACATATATATATATATTTATGTCCCTATGTGTTATAGCAATTTTTCTTTTAAAAAAAAATCTGCATCAGAGAATCTTTGCTTTCCATATATATTAAACTGTGGCTGCTTCACATTGCATTACTGTGTTCCCAAAGGAAGTTATATTCCTATTCTCATTTTGACTGAGAATTAAACTTGATGGAAATTAATTAGTACAAGTTGAATTAAGGCAAGTGACATCAGGGACAGTAAAAATAATCCAGGACTAACTAAATTAGTTTTTACCCAATTAATCTTTGAACTAGTGCTTAAAGCATGATGTCAGCATCAAGTTGGCCTCCTCTTCATCACAGTGTTGGGCACATCACAAAATTGCACATCACTGGTGATGGTTCAGATGTGGAATAACCAGAGGCTTTAGTATCCAGGAGATGCCTTGGCACAGCCAAGTAGGAGCCTGGCACAGCATCCACCTGTGCTGTGTTCCTCTGCAGGGGCTCAGCAGCTCCTCAGCCCAAAGAACTGCTGAGCCTCATGGTTCTCATCACCTTCAGACACAAACTGCATTGCAGGCTCAAGTTGTATGATGCTGTTAGACATTATTTTCCTAATTACTGAATTCTTCATGAAGAAAGAAACTAAATCAGTCATTAGGAACTACCTTGGCACTCAAGTTAATGAAATGTAAAACTGGTTCATTAGGACTTATTGTTCTCTTTGATTGATTTTATCACCTGTCATTTGTTGTCTATGAAAAAAGGGTACATATCTGGTAATCTTTCACAAGGCATGTAAATCTCCTATTTTCCTTCTAGGAGGCCTGTTCAAGGCTGCTTAAGGGTTGTTCAAATTGACTTTGAAAATATATTTTAACATACAAATATTTCTTTCTGATTTCCTTTGGCAAAGTTGCTGCTGAGAAACCTCGCAAGATTAGACATAGGTTTGAACATGCCCTTTAGGCAGTGAAATTCCCCTGCAGAGTACTGAGTCTACCAGAGGAATCCAAATGTATTTTCTCATTTATACCATTAATCAAAAAGAGTATGTTGCAAACTACTCAGAGAAATTTTATGGCATCAGTGAGCAGTGAGTTTATTGGGTCACATTGTGAACTAGAAGCAGAAAAATGGCACAGTATAAAATAGAGAGTACAGCTTTGTGGGCAAGGGGAAAGCCTGGTATAATTCACTGATTCAAATGAGGGCAGATGTTTAGACAGAAAAAGCTTTCCCATGTATAAATAGAATAAAACAATTCTATTTTCTCCTGTTTGCTCTATAATTTTTGAAATATTTCTTAGCTGTAGTTGCCTAGGAAAGCCAAAGATATTGGCTGTCTCTTTCCCTTTTACCATTATCGAGATTCCACATAGCACAGTTTAATTGTCCTGCTCTTCTCATATTTAATTAATTTCTTTATTAACCTCATGCCAACATTTCCCTCTCATTTGGAAACAGTATTGCCTGAAGAAGTCAGTAAGATACCTTGGCAATCACTGTAGCAGATTGTGGTTTACTTGTAATCCATCAAATGAGATGGAAAAGTTAAGATGTAAAAAATATTCTGGAATTTTTGTCCACGTATCCCAAATAGTGCCTGATACAACATTGCCTATTGCTTCTCTGCTACATTCTTTGCCTGTTTACAAAAGGAAAATAAGTCACCAAAAGGAAAATAAGCTGTAAGATGAAGCTTAATCAGTTTGTGAGGGGAATTATTAGTGGAATTTTCTGTGCTTGGTATTGGAATCAGTGGCTTCAGAGCAATTTTCCAAGCCTAAGAGGATGCTCTCCAATGGAATTTGCTGCTGTGTGGCATGTTGTG